TTTGGGTTTAATTATTATTATTAAGCTCAGGTTTAAAACTAATACAAATCTGATTTAAAAAAAAAGTTATGGTAGTCTTAAACTGATTTACCCTCATAGACAATTTTTAAATGTTAAAACAAAAACAAATTTATGTGATTCATTGGTGTTAAGCTGTAATAACTATTGTGATGTTGTCTATGGTCCTAATATTGACAGTATCGATTACAAGATTACAAACCTTGCAAAACTCATGTCTTAGATTAATCTACGTTATCAAGAGGAGAGAGCATATTAGTCATAAACTCAATGAGACTGGTTGGTTATCTATGGCAAATAGAAGAGTATTGCATATGGGTTGCTTCTTTTATAAAATTTTAAAATTTAAATCGCCCCAGTACCTTCATGATAAAATAAGATATAGGACTGATGTACACAATCTAAATATCCAAAAAAAATGCGTCATAGATATACCCAAGCACAAAAAAGAAATTTTTAAACGGTCTTTCTCGTACAATATTTATAAATATGTCAATGATTATAATATGTGTGATTTTACTTTATCTGTTAATACTTTTAAAAATAATTTAAAATTTGTATTGTCGCGGCAGCAATGACCCTTATATTTTATTGATCCTTAATAAGGGTTCCTAATATTTTATTAATTTTTAGCTATAGTAAAATGTAGTTAAATGTAGTTTTATTTATTTATTTTGTATTGTCATAGTTGTCTTTACTTAAAAAAGTAGGTTTTAAATTGTATTATTTTTAACAAATATTAATTTTAAGTATCCCAAGGGGAATGCGGAAGAACAATCCAATTTTGGAAATCTGAGCATTCAACCTTTTACCCTTATCTTTATATATGTATTTTTGAGTCAATTGTAACGTCTCTATTTAATTTGGGTAATAAAGTTTATTATTATTATTATTATTATTTTATTTTCGGTACAACTCCTACATCGCCTTCTGGTAGTGCCTTGTATTGGTAGATGTAGAGATACTTGTCCAAAACTTTTACGTTTTTCAGAAACTCTTTCATTTCGGTCAGATCGTTGAACAGAAGCAGTTTTTTCTTCGTCTGTTATTAATTCTTCTGCCAAAGACACCATAAATTGAAGTAAAGGTATTTTCTTGTTGTTTACCTCGTTTGAGATGATCCATGCATTCATGGCACACATCATCATCAGACGACAGAAAACTTTTTTCCACCACTTATTTGACTTACGGTCCATCTCATATACACCCATCATTTGGTCGGCCCGGTCAACTCCGCCCATTATTTCTCTATAGAAAGCAACCATGTCCGGACAATCGATAGGTAGTTTCGATCCATCCTTCTGAGTCTTCAGTACATTAGTCAATGTGTTTTTGTGGCAGTTGCTCAACACATAAACATCTTATGAGTCTTTCCACTTTGTATAAAATAAACCCTCTTTGCAGGCTTTGAATAAACTCTGACCCTTTTTTAGTTTTGTTTCAATTTTTGGTAGATTTTTTCTATTTGAGATACATGTTCCAAAAGCTGAAAAGTCCAATAAAAGCAGCAAATTTACTGACGTAAAAAATATTGACCACGCGCTCGCCCAAAGTTCCATCCATTTGTTCTGGCTCACGCCCAGTGTAAACATTGAAGTCATAAGTGTAACCTGAATTAGAGTCGCACCTCAGCCACAGTTTGATTCCACATTTATATATTGCTTGAGTGAGGTACGCCTTTGAATTTGGTCATCGACTCATCTATACTCTAAAAGGGGCTATCTGGGTGGAATTTTTGAAATCTTTCTTTGAGGCAACAAGCAACGTCATCAAAATAGTATGTCTTGCTACATCCCTCCGGTTTTTCAGGAGAAGCAAAGTACATTTTTGAATAAATAAATAGGAAACGGTCCCGAGAAATTGCTTTTTTAATTGCTGCATTTCCCAAGGAAGGATGCTTGGACCAGTAGTCGCTCATATATGGGACATGATTATAGCACATTATGAACATGCAACCCATTACAATTTTAATTTCTCCACTAGAGGTGGGTTTGAATTTCTTCTTTTTATTCGTTTTATTGGCATGAAGTTCCATGCGTTTGTTTGTACAATGAGCAATTTTCAAAAAAAGTGAAGATTGAAACAATTTTTGGAAAATCTGAAGTGGATTATCTCCTTCTTTTATTTCAGGTGAAATTTTGCACGGCCATTTAGTAGGTATTGCTTTTCTTGGTTTAAAATTATCATCTGGATCTAACCATAAAACAAATTGTCCCCCTCGATTGTCGCGTATTACTTGTTGATGGCTGCTCAGGTTTTTTTTTTGAGGTTTTGAGGTTGTTTTTCTAGGTTTTGGGTTGTCTGAGTCGCTATCGTCTAAACTGCTGGGTTCGTAATTATCGCTGCTCCCACAAGACTCTGACATTGATTCTAGATCGGAAAGGTGGTCAGCGAGCATATCCATTAAGGCATTTGTTAATACTTTTCGAGACATTGCTCATTTATTACATCTGTAACAACAATACAAATGGTACAAATATAAACGGCACTTACAAACTGAGCTGGTACACATTTTGTAACCTTCGGGTTTGGTTTTAACTATATTTTTTGTTTCACATTAAATTGTGCTTTACTATTTTTTTTGTTTCACATTAAATTGTGCTTTACTTTTTGTTGTATATATTATACCATTGGTTTAGTGTTGAGCACTTAAATCGGTGGGTTTTTTCTTCAATCTTTTGGTGGTCCATATTTTAACCTGCTTAATATTCATAATTTTAAACTCTTGCTTTAATTGTTTTACTTATTACTTGCCTAATATTCATAACCTTAAAATCTTGCTTTAATTGTTTAACTTCATAACTTACCTTGACATTAAAACTACGTATAACTCATGAGACTTTATTGAACAACAACGACAACAATACAAAGTGTTTTATGGCCATGTCACTCAGGTTGTCATATTCTTGGCAGTCCATTCGGCTAAGATTTCCTAAAAGGAAAAGTGTTGTTATCAAGCGAATATGCATTTTTAATTGAGTCATAGCTTGAATATTATTTGTTTTCCTTTTATTAATAACTTTGTGGGATGAGAATAAAAGTTTACCTTTGTTTATTAGATGCAGAACATCCTACTTGTATTTTGCGTATTTTGGCTGTTAAAGGGTTTGTCAGGCCATTGAGGTCACCTAAAAAGAATACGTTTTATTATTGCCTTGAGACAGCTAGGGATACGAAAAGAATAAGTTATGATAGTATATATTCAAGTTACTTACCACTTTTTTGTTTACAACATTTAGAATTGTATGTCAGTCGGCAAAGTCATCTGCGGTATTTGACGTTTCATCTGTCACAATTAGGAGATTTCGTTCGGTAAAATTTAGACGTTCGACTGGTATAATACCAGTGGTATTCATTGACGGTTGCGGGGTTGCCAAATACAAATCTTTTAGATTTTGAGCACGTACGTCGGGTTCGACGCATGGTGCAATGTATACATATAGTGTCAGATATCGCGAGGTTGCAAACGAATACACATATATGTTCGACGTTAACGGCAGGTTCGCTGATGATACTATATAAACGTAAAGACCTAACCGGCAACACTGGGTACATTTAACCTACGGTGTTACATTATTAATTAAAATGTCAAATTTCGAGCGATAAAGATTGCCTAGATTCTCCTGTCGTTGTGTTTTGTTCTTTGTTTGAACTATTGGTTAAACTAAAGTCTTAAAATCATTCTTATTCTTCTGCGTTTAATTTCTACTGTTAGATGTTTTGATTTCCGTGCCAATTTTGGGTAGTATTACGCACATCCGGCCGAGAATGTTCTAGAACCTGGTGGAAACAGGAAATGGTTTTTTAAGGGACGCGAGCCCTCACCACTTGGCAATTGTGTGTTCAGCAGACGAGTACGTAGTAAATTTTGGCTTTTTTCACGCCTAACCTGATAAAGGGATATAAACGTGCTTTTCTAACTTGGAAGTTGTGCTGTTGTTTTGGCATTGTGTTTTTAAGGAATCAACCGGCTTCCAAACGGCTTTGTAGCCGGATTAAAACTGAACCGCTGCTAATATTTTTCCACGTGGGTTTCCATACGTTTCCACCATAAGTTCGTAAAGGACATCAACTCCATATAGGAGACAACCCAGAGGAATAAGAATCATTTAACCCTTATTATCAAGGTAGGGCATAATTTTTTTTTGTTATATCGAGGGACGAGTCCTCAGGTGGGTCTATTTTATTTTTAGGGTTTTAATTCTGGGCCTAAAGCCTCAGTTTAAGTCTCGAGCAAGATTATTGTCTCAAGTAAAGGGATCAAGTTGTTTTAAGTCGCACCTCCTGTGTCACCCACGATCACCAGGATATTAGATATTGGATACCGTACACGGATGGACATTGACTGACGTACAATTCTTACAGGAAAAGCTCCACGTACACCAATTTTGTCTTACAAAGTGCAGAACTAAGGTCAGATCCATTTCTTTAACAAACAATTAGGTCCTGGTAGAATATTTATCAAACTTTTAATCATATTTAATATAATCTTCGATTAGTGTGAACTGCGGGTACATTGGCCAATATACACGAAGGGTGTTTAACATCATACTGTAATACCAGGGTACTTTAAATAACTTGTACTTTAATTAACTTGTCTTGGGATCTGATTTAAGTATATTCTTTTTATATATAAACTTCGTGTGAAATACACTTAAATTTTTTTTAGTAATTTCTTTTATTCTCATCCCATAAAAAAATTACTTGGTGCCCAATTCTAAAAAGTTTAAAGGTAAGTAGTAATTGCGAAGGACATTCACCCACGACCACCTGAGCTAGCGGGATTATGTGGCTCAGAGTCTACGTAAGAGATTCTGCGCTATAAATTTGGCGCCCAACGTGGGGCTCATTCATCATCTTCTCGCGGACTGCTCTGATGATCATTCTGATGCTGTTCCCATTTGTCATGCTGAACCCATGTCGTATGTAGATAGCAATCTCCGTCAAAGCACTCGTTAAGTCTTCCATCGTGGTATAATTACAGCTGATATTGTATAGGTAAGATCCATTATGGATGAAAATGCCCCTGATCTCTTTGTATCTAAATCTAACCTTCTCTTTTCCAAGGTAAATGTTGTAAGATATGCCTTTCTTATTCGATTCTCTCACCACAATTACCTGAGTGGGCTTGGCACTCGTAGTCATGGATCCTTTCACGTTTTCTGTAGTTATTGACATACCAAATGCTGCTTTCATCCATCTTGTGGGCAAATTGTCGGGTATGTCATTCCTTTTGATGAGGTCATGCAGCCGATGAGACAGAATTTTGGTGTTTTTTATTGTTTTCTGGATGTCATTCAGTGATGGCTGATATTTTAAACAAGAGTTTATTAAAGCTTTCCCAAATTTTGTGATGAGAGTTTCGAGGTCTTTTGACTTGGAAGCCCCTATCTCCATTTTAGTTAGGACAAATGAGGGTCCCATAGTAGCATGCGTCATAGTGGCAATCCTATCAATGGTTCCAGGTATGACTGGTATAACTCTTCTTCGAGTGTCCATGTGATCAAGCAGAAGCCTAATTTGTCTCTGCAGACTTAACTTGCAATCCATGTTATCTCCAATATATTCTTTTAGGACCACCAATGAATTATGTTCAACTTTTTCATAGGGTATAGAGTAGTCAGGACAAAGGAGTTGTTTCAGAGCTGGTATCCGTTAATCTCTGTCTATGACCAATGATGGCTCGCGTGTATTCATACTCACTCTCTCTATACTCGATTTTCCAAACTTTACCCTGGTATTTTCCCATTTTATTGAATAGTAGTCTTTCACTTCTTTTCTTGGTAAGTCATAAAATATGTCTATTGTTTTCACAACCTCCTTAGATGGTAATTCCGAGTTCGATATCCACCAGTCTATAGCCTCCTTCTTGCATAGGATCCTTCCGTGAATGTGGGCATCCTCCACTCTCCTCCCCTTAGCATCATCCTGTAAGAAACTTGTTGGTATTTCGTAGTCTGCTATCTTGTCCCTTGACACACTTATCGGGTATTTTGTGGAGATCAGAGACATCGTGCTTGAAATAGGATTAGGGTCCTTTACACATCTGCTCCCTCTTTCTACCAACTTTAGATTGCACATTGCTTGAGTTCTCAAGACAGAAATTGTACCAGGTCTGGCATTTATTATAGCATTACAATTCCTAAGAAAAATTTTTTTTCTTTCATTCATTTGTGCAGTTATCATAATTCAAAAGTTCTATTAATAAGTACGGTCTGTTTATACTACAGATGACTACTCTTCAAGTAATCGTCGCTACGGCATGCTCGGCCAAGCCGTATCGCCTGTAACCACCAACCCTACGACATCATTTGTTTTGTTTCATCGGATGTGGGATGGCGAGACGCAGAAGGCCTGCTCTTTTGGCGGAAGACTTCTATCAGGGTGTCATGAGCGTGTGTAAAATTTTGGCTAGTTGAAGTACGCCGATCTTGGTGAGATGGGTGCTTGGACGGCCGTGGTAGACTTCTTGCGGTGATTGTGCTGGTTTCTTTGTTGCTGTCGTTTCCATAGCCGTTGAGGCAGCAATTTGAGGTAACTGTCCGGGTTGTAGGGTCGTGCTTGTGATGGGCGCGGGGAGATTTTCGGTACAACTCCTACATCGCCTTCTGGTAGTGCCTTGTATTGGTAGATGTAGAGATACTTTCCCAAAACTTTTACGTTTTTCAGAAACTCTTTCATTTCGGTCAGATCGTTGAACAGAAGCAGTTTTTTCTTCGTTTGTTATTAATTCTTCTGCCAAAGACACCATAAATTGAAGTAAAGGTATTTTCTTGTTGTTTACCTCGTTTGAGATGATCCATGCATTCACGGCACACATCATCATCAGACGACAGAAAACTTTTTTCCACCACTTATTTGACTTACGGTCCATCTCATATACACCCATAATTTGGTCGGCCCGGTCAACTCCGCCCATTATTTCTCTATAGAAAGCAACCATGTCCGGACGATCAATAGGTAGTTTCGATCCATCCTTCTGAGTCTTCAGTACATTAGTCAATGTGTTTTTGTGGCAGTTGCTCAACACATAAACATCTTATGAGTCTTTCCACTTTGTATAAAATAAACCCTCTTTGCAGGCTTTGAATAAACTCTGACCCTTTTTTAGTTTTGTTTCAATTTTTGGTAGATTTTTTCTATTTGAGATACATGTTCCAAAAGCTGAAAAGTCCAATAAAAGCAGCAAATTTACTGACGTAAAAAATCTGTCAAAGCATAACGTTACATCCTTCATGTTAATTGTAGAGGCTAATGTATTGACCACGCGCTCGCCCAAAGTTCCATCCATTTGTTCTGGCTCACGCCCAGTGTAAACATTGAAGTCATAAGTGTAACCTGAATTAGAGTCGCACCTCAGCCACAGTTTGATTCCACGTTTATATATTGCTTGAGTGAGGTACGCCTTTGAATTTGGTCATCGACTCATCTATACTCTAAAAGGGGCTATCTGGGCGGAATTTTTGAAATCTTTCTTTGAGGCAACAAGCAACGTCATCAAAATAGTATGTCTTGCTACATCCCTCCGGTTTTTCAGGAGAAGCAAAGTACATTTTTGAATAAATAAATAGGAAACGGACCCGAGAAATTGCTTTTTTAATTGCTGCATTTCCCAAGGAAGGATGCTTGGACCAGTAGTCGCTCATAGATGGGACATGATTATAGCACATTATGAACATGCAACCCATTACAATTTTAATTTCTCCACTAGAGGTGGGTTTGAATTTCTTCTTTTTATTCGTTTTATTGGCATGAAGTTCCATGCGTTTGTTTGTACAATGAGCAATTTTCAAAAAAAGTGAAGATTGAAACAATTTTTGGAAAATCTGAAGTGGATTATCTCCTTCTTTTATTTCAGGTGAAATTTTGCACGGCCATTTAGTAGGTATTGCTTTTCTTGGTTTAAAATTATCATCTGGATCTAACCATAAAACAAATTGTCCCCCCCTCGATTGTCGCGTATTACTTGTTGATGGCTGCTCAGGTTCAACTAAATCACTTTCATCCCTATCGCTTTCATCGGTACTGCAATCGGTTTCACTTTTTTCTGTTTTTTTTTTTGAAGTTTTGAGGTTGTTTTTTTAGGTTTTGGGTTGTCTGAGTCGCTATCGTCTAAACTGCTGGGTTCGTAATTATCGCTGCTCCCACAAGACTCTGACATTGATTCTAGATCGGAAAGGTGGTCAGCGAGCATATCCATTAAGGCATTTGTTAATACTTTTCGAGACATTGCTCATTTATTACATCTGTAACAACAATACAAATGGTACAAATATAAACGGCACTTACAAACTGAGCTGGTACACATTTTGTAACCTTCGGGTTTGGTTTTAACTATATTTTTTGTTTCACATTAAATTGTGCTTTACTATTTTTTTTGTTTCACATTAAATTGTGCTTTACTTTTTGTTGTATATATTATACCATTGGTTTAGTGTTGAGCACTTAAATCGGTGGGTTTTTTCTTCAATCTTTTGGTGGTCCATATTTTAACCTGCTTAATATTCATAATTTTAAACTCTTGCTTTAATTGTTTTACTTATTACTTGCCTAATATTCATAACCTTAAAATCTTGCTTTAATTGTTTAACTTCATAACTTACCTTGACATTAAAACTACGTATAACTCATGAGACTTTATTGAACAACAACGACAACAATACAAAGTGTTTTATGGCCATGTCACTCAGGTTGTCATATTCTTGGCAGTCCATTCGGCTAAGATTTCCTAAAAGGAAAAGTGGTGTTATCAAGCGAATATGCATTTTTAATTGAGTCATAGCTTGAATATTATTTGTTTTCCTTTTATTAATAACTTTGTGGGATGAGAATAAAAGTTTACCTTTGTTTATTAGATGCAGAACATCCTACTTGTATTTTGCGTATTTTGGCTGTTAAAGGGTTTGTCAGGCCATTGAGGTCACCTAAAAAGAATACGTTTTATTATTGCCTTGAGACAGCTAGGGATACGTAAAGAATAAGTTAGGATAGTATATATTCAAGTTACTTACCACTTTTTTGTTTACAACATTTAGAATTGTATGTCAGTCGGCAAAGTCATCTGCGGTATTTGACGTTTCATCTGTCACAATTAGGAGATTTCGTTCGGTAAAATTTAGACGTTCGACTGGTATTCGAGTGGTATTCATTGACGGTTGCGGGGTTGCCAAATACAAATCTTTTAGATTTTGAGCACGTACGTCGGGTTCGACGCATGGTGCAATGTATACATATAGTGTCAGATATCGCGAGGTTGCAAACGAATATGCACATATATGTTCGACGTTAACGGCAGGTTCGCTGATGATACTATATAAACGTAAAGACCCAACCGGCAACACTGGGTACATTTAACCTACGGTGTTACATTATTAATTATAATGTCAAATTTCGAGCGATAAAGATTGCCTAGATTCTCCTGTCGTTGTGTTTTGTTCTTTGTTTGAACTATTGGTTAAACTAAAGTCTTAAAATCATTCTTATTCTTCTGCGTTTAATTTCTACTGTTAGATGTTTTGATTTCCGTGCCAATTTTGGGTAGTATTACGCACATCCGGCCGAGAATGTTCTAGAACCTGGTGGAAACAGGAAATGATTTTTTAAGGGACGCGAGCCCTCACCACTTGGCAATTGTGTGTTCAGCAGACGAGTACGTAGTAAATTTTGGCTTTTTTCACGCCTAACCTGATAAAGGGATATAAACGTGCTTTTCTAACTTAGAAGTTGTGCTGTTGTTTTGGCATTGTGTTTTTAAGGAATCAAACTGCTTCCAAACGCCTTTGTAGCCGGATTAAAACTGAACCGCTGCTAATATTTTTCCACGTGGGTTTCCATACGTTTCCACCATAAGTTCGTAAAGGACATCAACTCCATATAGGAGACAACCCAGAGGAATAAGAATCATTTAACCCTTATTATTAAGGTAGGGCATAATTTTTTTTTGTTATATCGAGGGACGAGTCCTCAGGTGGGTCTATTTTATTTTTAGGGTTTTAATTCTGGGCCTAGAGCCTCAGTTTAAGTCTCGAGCAAGATTATTGTCTCAAGTAAAGGGATCAAGTTGTTTTAAGTCGCACCTCCTGTGTCACCCACGATTACCAGGATATTAGATATTGGATACCGTACACGGATGGACATTGACTGACGTACAATTCTTACAGGAAAAGCTCCACGTACACCAATTTTGTCTTACAAAGTGCAGAACTAAGGTCAGATCCATTTCTTTAACAAACAATTAGGTCCTGGTAGAATATTTATCAAACTTTTAATCATATTTAATATAATCTTCGATTAGTGTGAACTGCGGGTACATTGGCCAATATACACGAAGGGTGTTTAACATCATACTGTAATACCAGGGTACTTTAAATAACTTGTCTTAGGATCTGATTTAAGTATATTCTTTTTATATATAAACTTCGTGTGAAATACACTTAAATTTTTTTTAGTAATTTCTTTTATTCTCATCCCATAAAAAAAATTACTTGGTGCTCAATTCTAAAAAGTTTAAAGGTAAGTAGTAATTGCGAAGGACATTCACCCACGACCACCTGAGCTAGCGGGATTTTGTGGCTCAGAGTCTACGTAAGAGATTCTGCGCTATAATTTGTACCACTCTATTTTTTTCTAGATAAAATCTTAAACTAAACATTACAATCAATACTACTTACCTACCGACTATAACTCTAACTACACAAATAAAAGTAAATTATTAATTGCACTATTTTTCACGTTTTTATATCACAAAATGAATTAACGTTCGTGCATCAGCTGTTTAAAACGAAGATAAAAGGCCCCAACATAAAATTTTAGGTTAGAAATCAATATGATTTGGTCTCTGGCAACTACTAATACTAACTGGTACACGGTAGCAAAAATTTTAATGAGAAATTTTAAGGTTAGTAGCGTACTAATGTTCGTGGTACATATACCCGCAGTAGCGAAAGGGTTAAATGTGAAACTAAAATAAAAACAGCGACCTCTTAGAGTTGAGCTGGAACGCCCATATTTAGTGAGGATTTTTTTTATATTAAATAGAAACATTTTAGAGGGTAAGAGCGAAATAAAAATTAAGTTAGTTACGTTAAACTTTTCCAAAAAATTAAAAAAAAAAATTAAGTTACTTACCAGTTAGCTTTAAGTAGTCGGGGCTAGGCCGGGGTTCAAGGTGG